GCTTAGCTTTGAAAATGTCAGAACAATCATTCCAAAATTGTTTTGAGAAACTTATTTTCCTATCTTCTTTTAACTTCTTTTTAGCCCAAAGGAGCGTTAGCCCAGGACGGCTATTAGTCTCGAAACGGCATTTTCGTCGAATCACCGCAAACGGCTGTATCACTTTTCAAATTGTTGCCCTCAAATATTATCGCTCTGTATTATATTTAACGAAATTAAATAATGAAGAATCTGAATAAATGTATATATGTCTCGCGTATTGTGGAAAACAGCGAAGCATAGAGCCATCAAATTTGAATAATATAGTCCTCCTCTCGAATATGAGCACTTGGAAGCCCGAATCTTGAATTTCAAATTTGTTTTATTAGCTATTTCATATTTTGTAGAACTTTAACCTTTTTTTTTAAATTGTCTATCATAAATTCTAAAGATATGTTTAGATGTTTTTAAATGTTTTTAACCCAAAGCACTGTTAGGCCCAAATGCTTTCGAAACTTCTCTCGAAACGTGCATTTGCGTGTGAATGAAAAACACGCCCTTTTGGGAAAAATATAAAATCTAAAAGCTTTCGAATTTTTTCCAGCCTTTTTTTTCTTTTTATACTTTTATCTATTTAAGAAACTTACATGAATGTTATCATGATTGATGCGACTTTACAATATTGATTATTTCTGAAATAATCTTTGAAAACAAAATGCATTAAATAAATATTTGCTAAGCCTTTCACATATGTTCAATCTCATTTACGTCTGAAATTTAGAATGGTCAGGAAAGGAAAGATCTGATTGATGAGAAAGCAGAAAAAATCATTAGAAAGTGGGTGAATTACGAATTATTAATAAGACTTGAGAATAACGATTTTGAGGCAGATTGCTTGAAGGAAGGACACACTTGAAAGAGCTCTTAGGATAGATAAAATGGGGGTAGAGTCGGTAGCACATCGTACGGGAGGGGGAGAACAACAGGGGATCATTCGAAGAGCCATATGTTAAAAAGATCGAATTTCAAGAGCACACCGCTCACCCCGAGTTGTGAAATTCAACACTCTCCACTTAATGATCGGGAAGCAGGCTTTGCTTAGGAAGGATCAAATTGTCAAAACAGATCCGGGTCGAGTTTCCAGCCCTCTGTGTCACAATGCAAAATCCTCTCACCTCCGATCTAATTTGCCTGCTTTTGGTTAAGTTTTCCTAAGCTTGGTGGGATAAATCTCTTGAATTGACCTAATAATCTACCCGCGACGTATCTCCGAACTTTATTTTTTTTTTCTTCTCGATATTATTTGCATTCTTTGTCACTGATCTTTCTAGTAAAATTTCGAGAAACCAGAAAATAATTCAGAAAAACATGTTTTCCCCACTTCACTGCAAGTTACCACACAGAAATTACGCACATACATACACACATTTATACATAATTACGTATATATTATATGTGTACGTATATATACAGCAGTTTGTTTTAAGGATTATCTATCTAGATAGGATTAACATACCTAGGATATTAATTTAAGGAGAATTCTAGTATTTGAAACAGGGTGTCTAAATATTAATTCGGCTAATTTGGCCCATAGAACTTAATTTCTTTAATATATGTGTGTGTGTTTGCATATGTATATGTCTTAAAGGATTTATGCAAGCCAATATGTAAGAAAGCCGTTGAAAACAATAATCGCTAATAACTAAGGCAGAAGGAGTTTAAAATGACGCGGGTGGTAATACATCCGTAGTAAGACAGCAAAAAAAAAAAAAAAAAAAAAAAAAAAAAAAAAAAAGGTATAAGAAAACTGGAAAATATCTAACTATAAATTTTTCATCACAGAAGAAATCTTTTCTTTTGGAATTTCAGTTTATTTAAAAACCAAAAGTAGAACTTTATATTGGCAAAATGATCAGCGGTAACAAAAGAAAAAAGTAGCTATAGAGAAATAAAAATACAATTTTTCAATATTAGTTATATTAAGCATCAAGCATCCGCTTCCTAACTTCCATTAACAGACTGATCGACTTGAAAATTTTTAGTCCGAAGAAATAAAATTTTGTAAAGTTCAAAGAAAATTGAGGGGAGAGAGGAATTTGTTTTTCAGAATAGGAAATAACAGAGATATTAGGTCTGAAGTCTGTTCGAATAAACAAGCAGGTAAATATTATTAATTTAAAAAATATTGCGTTGTATCTTGAATAGTTCTAACATCATATGTGGATTATTTTCCATTTAACATTTAAACACTTATCTCACTTCCAAAAAATATTTATATTTTAAAATGATATTCCCATTTTACTTAATTTCTTTTTTCCTTTTTTTAGTCGAAAGGGGCTTTGTCCTTGAAGGACTATTGTTTTCGTTTTGCGATTTTGCGTTGGTTCACTATAAATGTCCGTTTCACTTTTCAAACTGTTGCCACCAAATGTTAGAGTCCTGCATTATATTTGAAGAAATTAAATAATGAAAATTTGCTTAAATGTATGTATATTTCTCGCATTGTGATAAAGAACGGTACATAGAGCCATCGAATTTTAAATGACGCAATCCTACTGCGAATATGGGCATGTGGAAGCCCAAATATTGAATTTGTTTTATTACCGATTTCATATTTCGTAAAACTTTAACGAATTTTCGATTAACAAACTCGAGGATTTCAAAGCGAGCCATGGCAATGTTGTACAGAAAAAACCATTTTTATCTCCACTGCGTGAAGACTGCGTATCGGAAATTCTAAAGGATATGCTCAATTTAAAACTATTTTGCGATATTACTCTTGGACTGAATTTTATGGTTTAAGTGCGAAGAACGTGATATTTAATAAATAAAGGTAACAGACAAAATGTTAAAAAAACGCTCCTTTGGACGTAATTTAAAATCTGAAACATTTCAGATTTTTTTAAAAATTAATTTACTTCTTTAATTATTTATTTTTTTAACTTTGCTAATTTTTATTTCTATTTATTTAAAAAGGCATGCATTAATTATTACGTTTAAAGACAAACGTGTCTCTGCGTGTGTTTTTACAAATTTAATTTAAAGTTCTATTAAAATATTTATCCGTCGTGCTGCAAATGCAGTTAACTGAATTGATGCATTCGTGGGCGATGTTGCAAGACGAGTAATATTTTCGGGTAAAATGCAGTTTATATTTAATTTTTTTACAGCAATTAACATTGATATAATTTTTTTATAATAATTTTTACAATTTAACCCAATATTGCTATTATTTTCAATCTTTGCATCTTGGACTTTCAAGACATACTTTCCTCGCATTCGCCTTAAGCTTGATGAATTGAAAAGATCACAACTGTTACCGTATTTTTATGTAATAGTTAGAGATATGGAATATATATTTACTTTATGACCATAAATAAAAAGAATTCTTCAGTACGATCTTAAAATTTTCAAAATATACTCATCCAGTTAAAATAATCAGCTGTTTAGAACAGGACTAAAAATTTTTGAAAAAATTAAAGACCTCTCTCGATTATCACTTACATACTATAGTATTATGTACAAACTTCTTAGTATATCTTGCATGCAAGCACTACTTGTTTTTCACATTAATCATCCGAAACTATGTTTAAAATACTCATATTCGGAATTCAACGATAATTTACTTCCGTATGCAACTAGCAACTAGTTAGCAAAACTTTTTGCCGATAATTAGTTTGTATATAGATGACAGATATCCTTACAGCATTTTCTTAGCCATGAAGAAGGCTAATAAGGGAAGTATGCATATAATTGTGCATTTCTTTGATAGGATCTTCAAACCTATCAGAGTATGATGGTCTTTCCAGCAGCGTTTTGATTTTTGTAGTGATTTGCTGTTTAAGATTCTCAGCTTGTGGTCTACGGAAAGATTAGTTATGCTTCACAGGCCAGCATTGCCAACATGACATTGATAATGCATAAACTTTGATTTGACTGGCATGTTAATTTGTCTTTCTCAAACATATTTAGCCTTGTATTCAGAGCTTAAATTCTAATGCAGGAGAACTCTTACGCGAAGAAATTTTAAATATACGATATTCATATGCCCGAATAATTTTATGGGCAAAATGAAGCACGATGACTCTATCTCCCAACCAGCTTCGCCTTTGAGCTGAGAGTATGTTGGGTCGCTCACTGATTTGTGAGAAGTTGCGTAAGGGTTTTTACTTTTTGCGCACATAGGGATTCCGAGAAATGAAATGGTATGATACTGATAGATTCTCTAAACCTAAAATGTATGAGGCCGCGCAATAACATCTGAAAGGTTTGTGCGTATACTTTTGGTTCTTGCACATATTGACTGCATGCATTAAAGTAGGAAACACTGAAGGTGATTAAGGTAATAAATATATTGCGCCTGCAACTATGCATCTGCAATTTCATCCGCTCAGCGATATCAAAAATTAAAAAACAATTACTCCTACTATATGTATACGTCATGTGAAGGTATTCTACATTGATATATTAGATTCTTAATATAGTTCGAATTTACATAGTGCATATTGCCCATGAGTAATTAAAAGAGGCTTGAGATGAAACTTAGTTTGTGAGTTAGTTGTGTAAAACAGAGAAATTTTTAGCATTTCGAATCTTAGTAGAAAAAGATTACCATTACCAAAGATTACCATTACCAACCTTAATACCAAAGATTTACCATTTCCAACCTTAGTACCTTTTTAGTAGAAAATTATATCGTCACCGGAAAGAATTATGGACGACTTATGTCCGTATCTCGAAACCTTGAGGTCACAATTTGAAACTTATTTTCCAAATGATAAAGTTAATGAATTTTCATGGGTTCTTGATCCTTTCCATATCTGTGCAAGACAGGGTTTTCGTCATTAAAAAAAATAAAAACAAAGGACTGAAATTAATGTATGAGCCTATCTCGAACTTAAACGTTGACTGACAGACATGTTAGCATAAAATTAATTTTAACAAGTTTGAGATATTACTGTTTAATTTTTCAGTCAATTGACATTGACTTTTCCTAATTTTTTTTTGCTTATTTTTTCTAGGACTAAGATCGCATGAACAAGATGTACGACTTTCCGGACATACCGTTTCGTCTTTCAACAGCAGTCAAACACGAAATTGAAAGCGCTGCCGACTACTCGGTAAGCCAATTAATTAATTTAATTCAATATTTGTCGAGCCTTATTAATTGATTCAGCGGTTTATTTGCGAAAAAAAAAAAAAATTCTGATTGAAAAGAAGCAGGAAAGAGCAGATTCATTTAGTATCTTAATCAATTTATACATTTGTGAAACATTTTATAATTATCGGTGCTAAGAAAATAAACAAACAAATAAATAAAATCCTTAAATACACTCAAACTTAAAAAATGAAATCAATAACAAAATTCGAAAATAATAACAAATATTCGAAACTGCTCCCTCTTTTTTTAATGATTTTTAAAATTTTCTCTGCTTTTTGACAATGTTCAAATTTAAGCAATTTTCGAATATTGTCTATTTTGTATACATTCCGTTTTTCAAGGAAATTCCTAGCATGTATTTTCTTTAAATATGTTATTCCACGATCATCGCTTTTTACCCCTAAATAACCTTTTTCTGCAATGTATAGGAAACAATGGGAAACAGAACAGTATTTGTTAGGCATGAAACACTTGGAGAAAATGTGAAATAAAATTTCGTATATGTTATTAGCTTAGATTAACAAACGACTGTTTTTAGAACTTCAAATGAATTTCTTTTCGGGCAAATACTAAAACATAAAAGCGATTTAAATGCATTAAATGGAAAACATAAATATGCAAAAATTAGTTGTGATTAATCTAATTAAACTTTTGTTATGATAAAGTAAGATAAAATTTGTGCAAGAGAAATTCAAAAATCTTAAATCTTTTATTTTTTAATGATGTTTTAAATTGCCTTTTGCTTGTGCCGTATGAAGCAAAAGTAATTTGCTCGTGCATTTTAATTATAAGTTGGCTTATTATACTTCAATACATATGCTCATAGATTCCTTTTGCCAATCTAAATATTATAATATTCTTCTATTAACTTGAATATTTTAGTTTGCTTTTATTTTTTATTGAGTCTATATTTTCATAAGTGGAAGTCATATTGGCCTGTAAATGATTAAATGTCTAAAGTTTTTCATTAATACTGAAAATAAATAAATAAATAAATAAATAAATAAATTATCGGCAGCAAAACATGTTATGAGCAGTGAAAAAAATGTTCAGAAAAGAGCTTCGAGATGAAAATTATAATGCAGCGATGGTCTATTAGTTGTAAGAATTAATGCTAAAGATGTTTCTTAGGTTATTCGGTTTCTTAGGTAATTGCTTCGATAACATGATAAGGCCCTACAGTTCATTTTTTTTTTTTAACATGGAAAACAAATATATGAAATCTTTTATTGAGTCTCATTTTTTTTATTTGGTTGGGTTTTAATATTAACTTATAAGTTATGACTTTATATTCAGCAATAAAGTATCAAAAACATTAAAAATAAATAAATAAATAGAATTCAATTGTATGATTTTCAATTTGTCTTTTATTGCATTTCTAATGTTTTTTATTATTTAATTTTTACTGGTGTTCAGCAATTCTCTGAAATTATGACAATAGTGTCTGAATATATAAGGAGACTAATACTTGCGCACTCATAAAATTTTTTTTAAAGAGCGTCAAAGGAATATCAGGCGCCGAATGAAAACGGTAACTTTGTTTTTAGTTAGACTTTTTAGTTAAAATTCTATTTAAATTAAAATAAAACAGCATAGTCTGCATTCTTAGCTAATAGAAAAATGAAAAAAAAAAAAAATCTTGTAAACAAGAGAACAGCTGCGCCCCTACTTTTCTGCATAAGCGATTGTGTGCTTGCGCCCCTGCATTTTAAACTGCTTCAACCTATCTATGAGAGAATAAATAAAAAAAAGGAATAAACTCCTCAACAATGTAAGTAACACCCTTAAGCCATGTGCAAATAAATGAAAGAGCGAGAAGGCTCTTTAGTTCAGGCAAGAGAGAGGGAAAAAATAATAATAAAGATAGAAGAGGTCAGGGGTCAAATATGTTGCCCCCCCCCCTCATGAAGCAAGGGGGGTATCCGTCTCACTCCGTTACCCACTCCACATCAATCCCGCGATCAACGAGCTATGCAGCTCGGGCTGTGCGTTCTCTTTTAAGAAAAAAGCCGACTGGCATTGAAATAGCACCTTTCTTGTTTTTCAGCTTATAACAAATATGTAATTAAGCGCCTTTATTTACATGAATCAAGACTTAAAATTATAAGCAATAAGCATATTTCGCTTGCTACAAACATCATATTCTGCATTCGGTTGTCAGGTGTTTTAACACGTGTGATTATTTGTTTTATATAATATTCTTTTACAAGCTTGTTTTCATCTTAATGCTGATTAACTGTTCTTCTGAAAGACGAATGCTATACCTTAAATTTGATATTGCGAATAGTTTTAGTTTAATAAATTTGATATTGCGAATAGAATATGAAAACAAAAAGGCAGTCATGCAAAAATGCAGGCATATGTGCATAACGCAAATTACTAAACGTATACATTTATGTAAATTTAAGTCAATTCTAGAAAATTTAATTAAACATATAAAAATTAAACCTTTAAAAAATACAAATTAAAAGCTTCGTTATTTATTGATTTAAAATTTATTAGAAAATTTGCAGTTTATTGATTAAGAATCATAAGAAATAATTTAAGGACATATTTGGAGCAATTTAAATTTAAAAGGTTAATTAATTAATTTAAACATAATTCTGTTGATTTCCAGTTATATATTTTATAATTTATGAAATAATCATTTTAACTCATCAACCAATTTTAAAAGGGGGCTTTTATTACCTGAACTTTTGGGGGGACTTCATCTTAAGACGCAGAAGTTTACAATTTTTTGAAACTCACTGACGATTTGAAGGCCCCTTGAAATTTGGGGACCTTCTCGGTTACGACTTTGGTCACTTTAGATTCTAACTCCTGCCTAGGTTCTAACTCTGAATTTATGGTGGTTTTCATGTACGTGAAAGTTAAAATTAAATTATTTTGTAATTAAAATTTTTATTTTTTATTTAATAATATTGATAGTTTAAAATACAATATATACATATACAAACACACATATATATATATATACGTATAATTTTGTTAATAATTTTTAATTATATGATTATTTTAATCATATTTATTTGTTACGTCATAAAAATTAAGAAATTTGAGCATGATACTTATTATGCAAATTTGATTACTGACAGTTTTCTTACTGATAATTAGTTTTGTTACTACCAAAAACACATTATATAACAAATATTTCATTATCATTGCATTTAAACTCCAATTAGTTGCTATATTTTGTACCTGTAGTTGCTACATTTTGTACCAATTAGTTGCTATATTTTGTCCTTTTGCACTTGTCTTGTACCTAAATGTTCTCATATTACTCATATTCTGACATAAAAATGAAAAAAAAAAAAAAAAAAAAAAAAAAAAAGACAGAATTCTATTAGGATAAATTCTAAAGCACGTGTTCAGATAAGACGGAAAGTCTATTACAGGATGGATACTTTCCTCTTTCTTTACTTAAATTTCATGGAATCGAAAATTCCAGAATTTTTCAACGTGCGTCTGTTTACCTGATCAAAGCTTTGGTAGCTATGCTGTTTGCACCCTCTTACTGTCCTTTGAATGTACCTCTATAGACCGCAGCGGTACATACAGCCTAACAAAGGGGGAGGACACGGCAAAATCGGCTCAAGCTGAGGATTTCTGACACCTTTTATCATACCCCCAGGCCCCCAATCCCTTATACCTTCAATAGAAACCAAACATATGTCCGACAACAAGGCTCAGTTAGTTCAACAGTTGAAGTCTCCCCCCTCTCAAAGGGCCCGCTGCCCTCAGCGGGGGCGCTGCAATCGCTTGTAAAAGATGGGTCGGGTAGAAAGCTTTCTTTCAGTGGCAACGCCTGATTTGTTGGGTTTGTGCTCGGGTGTTGAGACCGTTTTGTAAGGGTTTTTGTGCATTGATTTATTTCATTTTATTTTTGCTTTTTCTCGGCACTCGGTTTGTTAAAGGGCAATATTGGGGGGGGGGGAAGAGAAAATGCGATGATTCCTGCATTATCGGGGCTGCCATGTGATAGCGAATCTCGCCATTTTTTAAATTTCATATATTTATGAATTTCGCTTATCATCCTACACTTATACGAGTATTTTGCAGATGCGAGTCAACTCCTTGCTGTCTAATCTGGATTCAGGACATTTGCGTTTAAAACTATACTGTCACCTGTGATGCTTGCTTAAGACCTATAGCCAAATTAGGTACACTGCTTGACCCATTCGGGATAATTCATGCTGCTGTTCATAGCTTGATCCTCAGCTTAACAGTAAGAATAGCGAAACGTACTTGAACTTTCGAGCACATTACTCGTAGAACTGGTAAATGTGTCATTGAAGTAAATTATACTAAAGTGCCTAAATAAATTAAAAATAATAACAAAACTGCAAAACTTTTAGGTAACATTATATGAAAAGTAGAAATATATCTCAGTTAACATGCTCTGTTCTAATCTATCTTTAAAGCTCTTTTATATATACAACGTGTGTGTCAAATAATTTTCTTTTCCTAAAATGTATGAACTAAAGTAAGGAACGATATGACAGGTTTATCTAAAACCGTTATTGGCTAGTTAAAATAATATCTTAAAACTTGAATTCAGGAAGCAATATTTATGAGCAGTATTAATATGGGTGCCAATATAAGAACTTCATTTCAGCATAACCGTAATATTCCTGTATTTTAAAGAAGGGGGGGCACCAGCGGCCAAGCGGTAAAGACGCTGAACACTGGTAGTTCGGTCCGAGGTTCGAATCCCGCGAACGGGCTGGCTGCATGGGCGTTTTCGTGGTTTTCCCCATGTGTAACGTGTATACGAGCCAGTTTCCATTAGAAAGTCCTCCACGAAGGCATCCCTCCCTTTAGGCAGATAGCCCTCGTGTGCTTTGCCATAACTGAATAATTCTAATCCTAATCCTAAAGAAGGGTGGTGGGTTAAATAGTTGTTCCCGAGGAAGGAATTCCATAGTTTTATGAAAGATATTTTTCGATTTGAGCTTGTTT